AAAGGCAACACCCCCATATCGTCTCCCATCACGCCTATCTAAACGAATTAAGGGGTAATAACCAGGAATAGCTAAATTATCGCTAGAAATCGATTCATTCAACCATGTTTCAGAAATGGCAAAAATGTGATATTTTTGGTCTAAGATAATTGAAGCGATCTCGTCGAACTTGTGGGTTATATTTAGACTACGTGCATTTAAATGCCCGACCAATAAAGGGCACTTGCGATTTGGTCCTGGATTTGATTCTATGTCAGGACACATTAAGTAAAAAATACTTAATAAAGCTATGATATGCAATGAGCCAGAGAAAATTGATGTTAAAAGGAATGTAAATGCGATACGCGAACGAAAAGTTTCTGAACGACTATTAAATAGACCAATCGCTGCTCTGTAAATTTCCAAACAAATTCCCATTGTTATCAGCAAAAAATTTTAGTGAGAAATAAACAACCGCTGTTGCTCAAGTAAATTTAAGTATGCAACTGACTGAAATGCAGTTACCACTACAATCGTATACAAACTGACTGAAAAGCAGTTAGGATACAACAAAAAAGAGAGACAGGGCCTAAAAATATTTTCAAATTAACACACGAGTCAATTAGGTATTATCAAATTCATGAACTAGGTGATTGTAACCAAGTATAAATGTTAACCGTTGGGACATAAGGTTGAACACGACCATCCATATTTACAAGGACCCTACCGTCTATCGTCCACACAGGAGTTTCCTTGTACTCGTTTCTTGCCAGATACAAAAGTTTTCGATTTAAGAACGTGAGGTCCTCGTAGACAGAAAAGGTTTTATTACTTAATCTAGCTTTTTTTACTTTCATGACGGACCTTTTGCTGTCATAAGCTTTGAACTTTACAATCATGGCGCGGTTTCCATCTCGATTTTTCTTGCCTACACGATGGGTTCTATCAATATCTTCTTCTGCAAACGCCAAATCCATTTCTTTCTGAAAGAAATCACACACTTTCTTTATGCAATTTTCTTTGGGCCCCTCGGGAATGCCATAAATTCTAACGCTTGAACGCCTCGAATATTGCTCATTGTCGTTGCATTTTCGCTTAACTTCGATAAGTTCTGTTTTCAAGGCTTGGATTTCATCTTTAATTGGCACAACTATACTTTCGACAAGATTTTTACACGCCATTTTTACTGAATCGGTAATAAATTCGCGTAGCGAATCCTGAAACGCCACTGAACCAAAATATTTTTCAACTTCTGATTTAATATATTCCTTCATGTCGTCGCCTTCGAAGTTGGGTGGTGCCCTCGCTTGACTTCTTGTTTGAACGTTTTTTTGACCTGTTTCTGGCATTCTGATAAATTACTTGCCGTAATAAGTAAGCATATATGACTCTGTAAAATTCTTATCAGTAAAAGGCCTCTGCCAAGTAATCCTTTTTACAGAGACATGGGAGCTATTTCAGACACGTCTTGACTGCTTGACTGCTTGACTGATTTTCGTGAATGTAAATGACTTGCATTTACATGCACAAATAAAACTTGACTTTTGGTGGCCGAATAATGAATTATTCGACCAAAGTTTGAAGCACAAAACCAAATCAAGGATAACTGTATTTAACAAATATAAAACATTTTCCGTGTTGATATACAGTTATATCAACACGAGTGGAATTGGGAAAACGAGAAATTGTATGGAAACACGACGCCCGAAGGGCGGAGTGTTTTCATACAATTTCTCGTTTTCCCAATTCCACTCGTGTTGATATAACTATATATCAATACGGAAAAATGTTTTATATTTTTTTTTATAATATAGCAATGTCAAAAGCCCGCAGGATAAGAAAAATTTCCGTGTTTAAAAGCGGCGGAAAATTTCCCGTGTTGACATTGAGTTATATCAACACGGCTCTTAGTCAATCAGCGTTCAGAATTTACAAATGCTATGTTATAATTAAATATATCATTCAATGTTTAAGGGATAATTTCGTAGATAAGAATTGAGTGAAGGCTAGTATGTATACATTTTGGAACTAACCGCGAGCTGTTGCATGCAACTATAGCAGTATTCATGGCCCTCCGGCAAACCAGCGACACTGCTATTCCGAGGCAGCACCACTCTAATCATTGTAAATACATATACTAGAAAATACATGCATGCAGCAACTCCTCGCCTTTCCTAACAGATGAAGTATAAAAACTCCACCATTATAAACGAACATAAAAACACAAATGATGCGCTAGCTTTATAATAAACGATAACAGTCACTGCAATTTCATCCATACCAGCTGGACGTGTCTAAAAGTACACACGAGTGACCACGAGTGACCACGCATGACCACGAATGACCACGAATGACTACGAATGACCACGAGTGACCACGAGTGATTTTTGTGCTTAAAAGTCATAAAATAATAATAAGGTGGCTCCATAGGGTTTTTGCATTAGACTAGACTTTTGTATCCAGAAAACTCCTGTTTCTTCACTTCACATGACACGAAGACGAAATTTATTGACAATTTATTGACACATTGACAATGCTCTCCCGAACATTACAATTTACTACTTTTGCGCTGAAAGTCCGTCATCATGGTGACAGCGTAAGCTTACTCAAAATTTGTCTTTTCCCGGCCGTTTTAAAAATTTAAAAATTAGCATAAAAGATCTTTCTCCTATAATAATGTTTTTCTTCAATTTTAAAAAATTCTATGGAACGTCTCTTAGATTATTCCCTTCAATAAAATATTAAGAAAAAAGGATATTGAGCTTGTTTAGCCGATATTAAGAAATGTGCAAAGTTTTAAAACAATTTACCGAAGAAAAAGGGAGACATTTAGGTTTAATTTCGGCATTTTTTGCGAGATGTGACGTGTAACCTCCCTCCATCCCCCCCCCCCCAACTGTGAAACTCAGACAAAAATCAGGTAAAATTCCAGTTAAAATTTTGATATTTTCAGGTAAAATATACAGTCAATTTGCATCCAATTTGTTTGCGAATTTGATAGTGGATATTATTTCTAAGTATAATCATCATCTTTGATAGTAGATATTTATTTCTAAGTATAATCATAATCGTATATTTCTAAGTATAATCATAGAAATAATAGATTATCTATTTTTAATAGATAATCTATTCTTTCTATGAGTATAATGCAATAACCTTAGGGAGCCACCTTAAAATAGTTTTTATTATTATTTTATGATTTTTAAACACAGAAATTACTCGTGGTCATTCGTGGTCACTCGTGGTCATTCGTGGTCACTCGTGGTCACTCGTGTGTACTTTTAGACAAGATCTACCCAAACCGGCACAACAACGATTAAATTATCAAAGACATCAACATCAAAACAATTGTAATACACTAATAAATGAAACTGCAGGCCTATTTCCAGTTAAAATCCAGAAAAAACCGTGTTGCACTTAAACGCTTAAAGGAATTTAAAACAAAAAATTGCTGTAAAACAGCAATTACTTCGACAGAGTTTGTAGCACTGAGCTATAATATATCTGGAGGAAGTGCTCGGCATCACGAGGTGAAGCCAAAAACATGGCGGATTTTCACGTTTGCTGACGGCAGAATGACGCCGCTGGTACCAAATCCTCGTGATAATTACCACTGAGCAAGGCTCATTTTGAGCTCGCTACCACTTTCACATCCCCCTGATTTTCACAAAAATATTTTAGGTCTTTTAGCTTTTTGTTTTGGAGTTTGCCTTGGTGTTTGCATTTTCCTCGACATTTTAACATTTGTTTCGAGTACTTGCACAAGTGGTAAGTATCATCCTGGCTAGTGAAATACAGGAAACGAATATTCAAACATCAAGAAAATTTGGAAAGACGTTATTTTGTAAAAAAAAGGTAAAAAAAAATACTGTTTATATGTTCAATATTAATTTGTGATTTTGCGATAGAGTACTAGGTCAAAACAAAGCGAAATAAACAACTTATTAAATCCTATTTGTACTGTATAGTGGGCAATTTTAGCAACTGATGTATACAATTAGGTTGTCCAAACTATATTAATACGAGAAACAGTCTTCCTCGAAAGAAAATGGTTGAAATTTCAGATTTTAGTTTCATTTGTTATTTCAAATTTTACGATATAAAATGCCAGTTGACCGTCTGCTTCATGATACTACTTAGTACAGTTAAAGTGTTTTCTATTGTATTAGTATTATACCTATAGAGGAAGACCTTTTTAAGCCAGAACTATCATGGCTTTGAATGATTTAATCCATGTAACTGGCCACTGATGGCAATGAAATTTTAACGTGTAGAATTATCAAGTCTATCAAGATCCAAAAACTGGCAGTTCAATTATACCAACTTCTGTTGAAGCTAGTTTCATATAGTGCACCCTACTTTTATTTTACTTGTCTAACGCCAGACGATTTTACCATAGGCGTACGAGACAGGGGACAAGAGGGGGCAGCTGCCCCCAAAATTTTGGAAACATGGAAATTCAGGCAAATACTAGGAAAAATCAAGAAAATTCGGGCAGATTTATCAGAAAATAGGTTAAATTCAGGTAGTTTTCATTACAATCCTCCATAAAAATTCAGGCAAACTTTCAACTGCCCTCCTGGAAAGCATCAGCCCCGTACGCCTATGGATTTTACTCGTCAATGGGGAAGCTCTGCAGCTTAATGGGTTAAGAAAATGAAACATTCTTGATGATATTTTATGTTAGTAATTCATCATGCATTTTTGGAGGAAATATTTTACACAGTGGTTGTTTTGCCTGACACTGAACCCCAATATTTACATACTATTTGTCTGAACTATTTTCCTCATTCTTTCAACATGCTGAAATAATACAAAATAAATTTCAGATGAATACAAGCAAGTCCTCTGGGCACCGTTGTCAACGCTATCACCTTGTTGGTAGCATATATCTGCTTAAGCCCTGGGTTCTTGAAAATGAGTGGAATTTCAAGAGCATTGACTGACCGGCTTTGTGCACACAGGTGGCCTTACCAGTTAGGATGAGGGCCAGTTAAGGTTGGGTGCAGGCAAGGTTCATGTAAACTTATTGTTAGCAAGAATGTTATGTGTACACAATCATGTGTAATTTTGTGTTGGATTAATAGCAATTAAACGTACTTGTGACCCAGTGTCGGACACTAACCACAACAATTATTATATAAGGTATCTGGTTGTTTTAGTGTAATATTAATTTCTCACATATTGTTTCAGAAATAAAGCAGCATTGTGCAACATGTTGGGAAAGAGAAGTCACAAACTGTCGATGAATATATTTAATTAACTACATCCACATAAAATACAATTTTATTAACAGTATTTTGATTTATGGTCATAGTTATTAGACTACATTATTTTCATATTAAAAATAAAATTAACAAATTACAATATCAGTGTGAAAATATTGCAATAATCAATTAAAATGTCAAACCAGCTAATTGTTTCAATTATTTAATTGTGAGTGTAACCTAACCGCCCCCCCCCCCATGCCCTGAGCTAGGGAACAAGAGAGTTGCCGTGGGCCCTATAATAATTATCCCTTTTGATATTTGACAATGCACTGTATAATTTTCCTGTCAAATGCCAGACAAATATACTTGTCAATGCATGAGGAGAGCTCTATCACTCAATGGGTTGACCAGTATATGTTAAGCCTTTGATAAGTGGCAATGTGCCCTAGTGCGCCCTACTTTATTATTATATTCTGTCTAATGGCAGACAATTTTATTTGTGAAGGGGAGAGTGCTGGTGCTCAATGAGTTAAGTGCATTATTCTTCTTCAAGGCATTATTCTTCTCCAGGGCATTATTCTTCTCCAAGTTTTCTACACACTCAGGATTTTTCTTCGTATCTGGAAAAGTGTAATAAAATACATCGAATCAGTCATGTACTATATAATTTGGTCTACATGCTATTGAACATATTTTTTCCTTTCAATTTTCAAATATTAAAATATGTCACTTAGAGTGTTGTGAAATAGGCATCCCTTATTCACCCATTGACTTCTATTTCTATGTACTATCCATAAATTCATTTTCGTCAAGAAGAATTCATGTCTATTTGCTGGCCTTTTTATATATGAACTATAAACTTTACTTGTACAACTAGGTATTGAGCATCCTACTGTTATCCACTTTTAATAGCCATGAAAAAAGATTAAAATTGTCTATTAAAATCACAACTCAAATTTGTAGTGTGAGCCTTGCAAGCTTTTATTCAACACTTACTCCTACAGAGACACTTATTAGGAACAGTTTTGATCCTATGACAATACATTTAAATCCTAGGATAAGTTGGGAGTTGACAGGCCATTTGTCCATCATTTTGAGGCATTTCTGTTGCTATACTGTATGTGAAAATTGATGTTGGATCTTTGGGTAAAGACTCCAGAGGAAAACAAAAACTATAACCTACCCAAATGGGAAAATAAAACATAAAGAAAAGTGATAAAGGCAGAAAAATACCAGCTGCTCTACAGCGTCGTTATATTTGTAAATTTCGTATCCAATTTTTCTTGAAAAAAAACGGTATTTATTTAGTACAAATGAAGCATTTAATACATCTTACCGTTAAGCAGAAGTGCTTAATCTTCTTGATAAAGAATTGTGGCTTCATGAAGCCATGCCGAAACTCTGCATTTTTTCTTAATGTCTTCTTTTATATAAACTTTCAGCAGAGTTTCAGGCTTTTTTCAAAAACCAGGGGGGTGAAATTGTCGTCTGAAGCCGAGGATCGCGGTTGGCCAGTGGTAATTACCACGAGGATTTGGGACCAGTGGCGTCATTCTGGCGTCAGCAAACGTGAAAATCCTCCATGTTTTTGGCTTCACTTGCTGGATCGAAGAGAGATAGGAGCACCTCCTCCAGTAATATAGTATAGCTCAGTGGTTTGTACTCGTCCATGACATAAAAAAAATGGAGGACAACTTTGCACTCCGCTATCACGGAATAAGGTACACAGAAGGTCGGCTCGAGCACAGAATAAGAAGGTACAGCAGAAGTGTAACTCAAGCAAGTATTTGTCCGCGTTTTTACATGCGATTCGTCATCAATCACGCCATCCCGGCTAGTACAACCAGCACTTTGTACCTACCAAAACCTGATAAAAACTTCCGGTTGTACTAGCCAGGATGGCGTGAGCGAGTTAAAATTTTCGTGGACGTGAAACAATAAGGGAATTGACTCAAGTTACACTTCTGCTGTACCTTCCTACTCTTGTGACTCGAGTAACCGCTGCCACGCCATGATTCATCATCAAATTGCTGACGCCATGGTCCTAGCCAGTGTGCGTTTGAGAGGCATTCCCCCCTGGACGTCCGCCATTTTGAATAATGTCAGGGGGGGTTGAATGCCTCTCAAACGCGCACTGGCTGCGACCATGGCGTCAGCAATTGATGACGAATTACGGGTTACGCCAAAATCATAGGAAAATGATAGGAAAAGCAAAGAAGTCGGCCTTCTGTGTACTATATTCTGTGCCGCTATGTTTTCACATACCCAGGTATAATTACTAATTAGCCGTGCGAAATTTGTACCCTCGCACGGCGCTTCGCGCCGCCGGCTCGGGGATAATCTTCAGTGGTCTGTGCCAATGTAGGTAGTGCCAATAATAAGAAAGCTGCGGTTGGACAGGGATATGAGTATCTGGAAATACAAGGAGAACTTCGTCGTCTCGAGGGTCGGGAAAATTACATCTTTCAGGCGAAGGTTTGGTAAGCATTGGCGTGCAGTCATCGTCAACGATGCTAACTAGCCTGTTGCCGGACATTTTAATAGTGCAATCACAGTGTTTCGAGCCCTCCGTGACTCTGTCCCATTTCTGGAAGTCTTTGGCTGTCAAAACAGACATTGACAGTACTTTAAGTTCTCGCCTTATGGCTTATTCCATACTTGTTTCATTTTTAATTTTTGTTATTTGCAGGGCTTTTTCACTAGCATATAAAAGCTCGTGTAATGTTGCCGACCCCGCTACTATTATTGGTTTAATGTACCATTTGCATTATAGACTAACTTTTGATCTAAACAAGTCTAGACAAACATTTCATCACTACGGAAGCCGTGAAGGGACTTCAGACTTCAGACTTCAAACATTGGTTCCGAGCTTCGCTAATAGCCAACATTTCTTCTGCGAAGCTGGCTAATATTTAAGGCACTTATTCAGTCAAAGCTATTCAAACTAAAGTTAAAAATGGTCAGAATGATTTAGATTGTAATGCAGACTGTTGGAATGTGTCAGTGAGTTCTGACAGTTCTTTGCAGGTTTAAAGGCAGAACGATAAAACATATAATACTATTGTTTGTAGAAACACCACATAAATTTATTACTGCAGTAAATTTATTAACTTTATTCTGTAAATTTATCAAGTTAAGTATAACACGCGCTCAAAACTAAAAGCAAATTTATAGCCTATATAAATTTAAGTTAATGAGACAAGGTGTGATGGTAAGATGAGGAGGTAGATATGGTTTATATCAACCTAATCTTTGACAGTTAGGTCTAAGGTCTTGACAGATAGGTCAAAGATCATCTTCTGCCAGCTAGCACACATTCACGTGAACAAATCGTGAAACACACTGTGAACCAATTGAAAACCTTGTACGACTCGGTTCTGTGCTTTGACCAATCATAGGGCACAACACAGCCCATCCTAATTGGCACATAACATGCACGAGTTCATGCAAAATAACGTAATTTACTCTGAGATGTCGACAGAGTAACATTATCGAAAGATTTTCAAAATATAACTCTACCGCGGGCAAGCGCTTTTTACTCTTCTGGTGGACAAAGGAATATGTTGGCTCAAGTACCGATATGTGATTCAGTGAGACGTAGTTTATTCAAACATAACTCTGCCGCGGGCAAGGACTTGTACTCGCCTGGTGGACAAAAGAATACGTTGGCTCAAGTATCGATGTACGATCCAGTGAGACGCAGTTTATGCTGTTTATCCAATATAACTCTACCGTGGTCAAGTGCTTTTACTCTTCTGGTGGCCTAATGAATACGTTGGCTCAAATACCGATGAAGTTATTTCCATTTAATGAAACCGCCGCTGGGGGAATTATAACAAGATCGAGAGGCTACATAAACACGAAATATTCAACTAGCGTACATGCTTAAGTGAAACGGATATATTTGGTGCGTATATTTAAAAGTTGCGGCGAATTCACACGTTTATTTCGTATTACGCTTTTCAAACCAACCAAAATGCTTTAACTTCGTCTATTTTATCACAGAATTTGGGTATATATAGTAATTGTCGAGCGCCAAATGTATCGACTATTCACGCAAATCGATCTCATCTGTATTTCAATGTTAATTTTTTAATATTAATACCACCTTGAGGTTATATTGGGCCTCTGATTTCGTATTCCACTTCCCAACCAACCAAAAATCTACTAAATTCGTCTATTTTATAACGACATTTACATTCTGGGTATTATTTCTCGATCAAAAATTCCAATGACAATTTTATTACCACCTTGAGGTTAGCCGCTGATTAGGCTTCAGATTACGCCTCAGATTCGGCGTTGGATTGGGTTTTCAATCAGGTCTTACGTTGAACTGTATTCAATCGTTCAAAAGTAGACTTATAAACTTCTTTTTCAGAGCGCACGTTAATAGTTCACCTGCATCTAAGGACGTAAACGAGCTTATATTCAGTTATAAAATTTGCATAGCCAAAAATCTCATATTTGATTGGTTACATAAAGGATATGTGCTAATAAGGTGCATAATAGCGACCTAAGTGTAGATTTTACTGTTAGGTACAGATGAAGATAATTATATTATTATAAGTAATAGCATGGCTTGAGGGAGATTAGTGATTAAATGGCCCCGTAACCCGAGGCAGGTTTGCGGAATTCCCGAGGGCGAAGCCCGAGGGAATTCCGCAAACCTGCCGAGGGTAAGGGGTCATTTAATCACTAATCTCCCGAAAAGCCATGCTATTAGTTTGTAATAACATAGTTTCGCTCCCATTTAAAAATGGACAAACATGCCCTACTTGGAATCAGCGTATTTAAGCTAAAACATTTGCTTCATTGCTTGTGGGATGTAAAAGCTTGTTGCACATGCGCACTTTTTGCGCTTTAATCGGTTACGCATGCGCAATCTATCATTTAACGTACCACAACAAACACGCTAAATATATTAGTATAAATTTGGAGACTGCACGTGCGTAATTTAAATGATGCGGCAACTCAGGGATCGGATGATAGACTATTGACGGCTCTGAGCTAACTGTTGCTGTTTCTTGCACGATTATGTGCGTGAGGCA